TTTTTCATCAACATTATTACACTAAACGTTATTTTTTTTTTTCATTTTTCATCTATACCAGTCACGGGCAAATGCAGCCAGCGTGCCGAATGCGACCCCGTTTGCGTTTTCTGAATGGCCCACTTAATTCCATAAGTAAAATAAAGTTACTTAAAATTTTATTTCGTTCTCACTTGTTCACTCACACACTCTCTCCTGCCTAACTACATACATAAACAATGATTAATACAATGTTTCTTGAATTTTGTAAACATTCGATGAAAATAACGTTTTCATCATTTTAACCGATTCGCGATTTTCACTAAGGAAGATCATACGTGTTAATATCTTTAACTTTTGAAACATAATAGTTTTTCTCTAACGAAGAAATATACGCTTGTATTTTGAAATGAATAAATTAGAAATAAATCACATGCAGCAACATGTGTTAACGACACTGTCATAAGTGATAAAATCATACGAAAAATCTTTTTCTACAAAGATAAAACAACTTTTCCCACTTATTTCTAAGGTATATACTTACGTATATTGTCTACTGTACTTAAAATAGTTGAAGGGCCTACGACGAAAAATTACCTTGAATCTTTTTAGTCGTTCTGCCTGATTTGTTATGAGCCGTAGATCATTCGGCCCATCGCTAAAAAGCCGCAGCTCATGCCTGCTGCATACGTAAAGCATGGTAAACAACACTGTAAGAGAGCTACCGGTTACACTAAAGGAAATTAAAAAAGAAGCTGAAAGCGATGATTTCATTTTAGAAATAAAAAGCAAAATGGTAGCAAATGACCAAAAAGTGCAGGAGATTTATTCAATAGGTGACGGAGTTTTATTATATGGTGAGAGAGTAGTAGTACCAAAAATGTTGCAGAAAAGAATACTACGGGACTTTCATATGGGTCACCTGGTATTAATAGAACAAAAAGCTTAATGCGAAGCTTTGTGTATTGAAAGGAATGGTGTGATATCGCAAACATGGTTCATCGATGTAAAGGTGTGCGTTAGCAGCTAAGGCACCACCTATAGTACACAAACCATGGCCCAAGACGGATCATCCATGGACAAGATTACACATTGATTTCGCTGGTCCAGTAGAAGATTTTACTACTTAATAGTGGTAGATAGTTTTACAAAATTGCCGGAAGTACTACGCTGTAAAAGCCTACGTCCAATACCACAACAACTTTTTTGCATGAACTATTTGCACGGTTCGGTGTGCCAGAGTGTATTGTGACTGACAATGGTGCACAATTCACTTCTGAAGAATTTAAGGAATTGTGTGAGTTATATCAAATTAACCACATAACGACGCCGCCGTATCATCCGAGGTCCAATTTATCGATACTTTAAAGCGAGCTCTGAAGAAAGCCTCAGGAGTTCCAACGGAAAAGGCGCTTCAGCAATTCCTACAAGTATACAGAATCACGCCAAACCAGAGAACACACGCAAACATGGCACCAGCTGAACTAATGTTCGCTAGGAAAGTTAAGCCAGTGTTTGGCAAGCTTTTGCCAGGAAAAAGTAGAGTAAAGAATACCATGTATACAGCGAGAAAAAGATACACCGCCGGAGAGAAGATGTTTTTCAAGTGCTACAAAAACAACGTTGAGTTCTGGGAGTGAGGCATAGTGGACAAGAGAATCGGTGACCTGATTTAGATTTACATAATTAAAGGGCCGAAGAATACTCATATAAGGCACCAGAACCAACTTAAAAAATGTTACGTTATAGAGCATGAAGAGAGTATACCGGATGAGGAGGAAGATCCCATTGATGTAATGTATGATATGTTTCAAGTAGAACCTCCACAGAATACTCCTGAACTAAGAAGATCCGGTAGGAAACGGAAGTTCACGGACCCATTGGACGTGAATCCAAAACGGAAAAAATATTAAAAGATGGACATATGCATATGAAGTATGCAAATGGATCTACAAAGAAATAGCCATAATCATCAACCCATATAGGAAGCCAATTTGAAATCCAAAAGGGATTCCAAGGCTTGGGAGGGGGTGTTGTCGTAGGATCCACCTAATTTGCATAGTGGAGTACCGACCATAAAATATGGTTGGTACCGGGAAGACGAGGAGGAATCAAGAGATTCAATCCAGAGACTCTGCCCGACTGCGACTAAGTCAACACATTCTCCAGGAACGGTCTTACCAGGAATATACAAAAGACTATATGTAAATATTGTGTACACTTTCTTGTTTCAATACATTTTGTTCTAAGTACATTTTGTATTGTATTATTATTCCATGCATTAGTCAAGTTTCAACAGTATAGTTACTTCAAACTTTTGAACTATACAATATATATATATAGTATAGTTCAAAAGTTTGAAGCAACCAGCAGGATTAGCATGGGATTAACTTGACGGAAAATTTAAAAAATGAAAAAAGAGCTCTTAGAATCATTGAAAAAAGAATGGAATCAATTATCAAACTTATACTTTGAGAAACTTTAGCAATGAATGCCAAAATTTTGTGCTACAGTAACCAAGGCTAAAGCCGAATATTTTAACAAGAGCAAAATTGAATCATATAATGCTTTCTTTATCATAATAAAATTTCTAATAAAAACAATCATGTCTCATTTTTTGTTAACAATGTATTATAGTTTTCATCTTATTTAAAGTAGAAAACAACTACTTTCAGGCCAAAATTTACCTGGGGTTGCCTCAAACTTTTGAATTGTAGTGTATATAATGGAAGCACAGTGAAGTAATGGATAACGGCACGGATTAGCGCCTCATGGTCGGTGACTAAACTGGCTCCCGCACGAGAGCCTGGTCCGTTGAGGAGGCTATGTAGAAACCACAGCATCATAAAAAAGACAAGGGCTGTTAAAGAGTGGATTATAATCAACGACTGTCCACCCTAGCGATGGGTTAAACAGCCTCACCAACAAGCATTTGGCCAAGCATGCTGAGTATGGCTACACCCCTGAAGACGACCAAATCCAAGCAGAAACAGCCCTCAGTCCCCAGAATTACCACCCAAGGCAGCCGGAGGAAGGATGAAGGAGCTGAGAATAATAATAATTCACTGGGTTCGAACAGGCTACCATTACAATATGAAACCCGGAACCTACAATACAATCAGATCGCCATATTACAGACATAGAAAAGGAGCCTCTCGGGCTCGACTTCGGTATCACAGGGCGTAGGCGATCATGGCTCTCCATTTCTTACTGTTCCTTGTAGCTCTCAATAAGATTTGTCTTATTTCTCGTAGACCCTGTTTTACCATCCACTTGCTTAAACCCGTTAAGTATGTCACGCGTTGCTTTCCGTTGTCCTCCTTCCTCTCTATCCGCCTTGTAAGTATCAGATTTTCCAAGCCCTCCTTCCAAACTACGTGTCCCAGAAATTTCAGTTGCCACTTTCTGGTGTTACTTTCTTCTTTGTTTGCAACCTATCTAAAACCTCATCGTTACTCACATGGTATCCTTAGCATCCTTCTGTAGAACCATACCTCTGTTGCCTCGAGTCTCATACCCCTAAAATTGTATCGTTATCATATATATATATATATATATATATATATATATATATATATAGTGTAACCCGGATATAAGAGAGTTGTCGGGATCGGAGAAGAAGTCTCTTATATCCGGGTTTCTCTTATATCCGGGTTTGGTTTATTTTATATACATTAACACAGGCTCTAATTTGGGACCAGAGAAAATCTCTCTTATATCCGGGTTTCTCTTATATCCGGGTTACACTGTATATATATATATATATATATATATATGTGTGTGTGTGTGTGTGTGTGTGTGTGTGTGTGTGAGGAAATATACTTTTAAGGTGTGCTATATTTATGGGATAAAGTGCTCAATATCAGAGATAGAGCGTGTGTAAATATAAAACTGAACATTTAAGTCAACACTTAGAGGGAACAGGCTGTTTCATGCTAGAGGCAATCGTCAGGCCTCGTGCTGCAGTAACCAAGCCTAAAGACCATGATTAGTTCCCGATCAAAATGAAACGCTTAATTAATTAATTAATCAGTTCATTTACTCCTACGTTTCTTAGATTGCAGTCTTATTTGTTCAAGTCTTTCATGTGAGGCATTCAGATACCTTTATCTATTAAGTGATCGTCTTACCTTAATTTGAAATAGGCTTCGCCATCCTTGTCATTCTCTTGTCCTCCGAGAGATATTTCCATTTCATTGTTATATTAAACACATACAGTTTTTAAACATGAAAAGATATTGAGCAAAAAGCTATTTGCATAATACCAGCAGTAATCAATGAATCATAGATACCACTGAACGTCTAAAAGATATAAAGGGAATGGGTTAGTTTAATGGTTCACTGGCTTCTATTTTAACTGTGAATTTTTATCTCCGCTTTATTGAATCTCAATACATTGTTTCATGACTTTTGTTTCATTTTTGACAGCACGGATACATTGGTATTTAATAACGTAGCGTTAAGAGACAAAGTTGTCTTTTGTCCATTGGGTTGTTTAAAAAGAAAGGACTTATGATACAGGAAGTCGAGAAAGAAAGAAAGAAAGAAAGAAAGAAAGAAAGAAAGAAAGGACCTTCGTGGGAGAAAGAAAGAAAGAAAGAAATTTCATAGTGGATAGAAAGAAAAAAGAACATATACGGAGAAAGAAAGAAAGAAAGAAAGAAAGAAAGAAAGAAAGAAAGAAAGAAAGAAAGATCTCATATACAAGAAAAAGAAAGGAAAAACACACATTGTAAATAGAAAGAAAGAAATGCCTCAGGCACGAGAAAAAGAAAGAAAGAACACACAGAAAGAAAGAAAGATCTCAGATACAAGAAAAAAGAAAGAACTCACATCGTGAATAGAAAGAAAGAAAGAAAGAAAGAAAGAAAGTAAGAAAGATCTCAGATACGAGAAAAAAGAAAGAACTCACATCGTGAATAGAGAGAAAGAAAGGACCTACATGGGGAAAGAAAGAAAGAAAGAAAGAAAGAAAGAAAGAAAGAAAGAAAGAAAGAACCTACGTGGTGAAAGAAAGAAAGATCTCAGATACAAGAAAAAAGAAAGAACTCACATCGTGAACAGAAAGAAAGAAAGAAAGAAAGAAAAGACCTACGTGGGAAAAAGAAAGAAAGAAAGAAAGAAAAAACAAACAAACAAACAAATGGAAACCTTTAGTAAATTTGAGTAATTACTTTCCTTAATCGTTTTAATAATCTATACAAATAAAATATTTATCTGCATTTAGACAAAATTGCTTCCCGAGCAAAATGAACCATTTAATTAATCAACATCTTTACTCCTACGTTTCTTAGATTGTAGTCTTATTTGTTCAAGACTTTCACGTGAGGCACTCTGATAACTTTGTCTCTTTAGCTATCATCTTCTTTCAGCTTGATCCTGAAATAGGTTTTGGGAACGGATTGATTAAACAGTTCATTTGCCTCTATTTTAGTTGTGAATTCATTATCTCCGTTTTATTGAATCTGAGTACATTGCTTTAAGATTTTTGTTTCATTGCATCTCACTATTAAACCTTTCTAACAATTGGCGTCATTTTCGACTACACTAGTAATATAATAATTCTTAGTGATAATATGGTACTTGTGAATTATTTGTCGCCATTTTTTATCATTATATCCGAGCTCCAGGAGGCTGGTTTACAACAATTCAAGGTTAATCATAAATACAATTTCGTTGCTGCAGATGCCGGAGTCCACACTCCGAATAGCGAAAGTTTGTGGGGATTAGCGTGCACCTTTTTTGTAATATTTAATTTTTAGTCGTTTTAATAATCTATACAAAGAAATTATTCATCTACATTTAATCAAAATTAGTTCCCGGGCAAAACGAACCGTTTAATTTATCAGCTCCTTTACTTCTACTATTCTTTGATTGCAAACTTATTTGTTCAAGCCTTTCACGTGAGGCACTCAGATACTTTGCTCTGTCAAGTGATCGTCTTGATTCAACTTGGTATTGAGACAGGCTTCGTCGTCGTCGTCGTAGTCGTCGTTCTGTTGTTAATCTTTTTCTTCCGAGAGATATTTTCATTTCATTATATTAAACACATACAATTTTTATCATGAAAAGATATTGAGCACAAAAGCGATTTATATAATACCAGCTGATGCATCTTTTAAAAAGTTTAAACTGAGAAGGCACGGTGGAGTAATGGATAGCGGCTCGGACTGATGAATCAAAGAGCAGAGTTCGAATTCCAGTCAGATCCATTACATTCACTTACATACTAATACCCTTGAGAAAGGCATGAATCTTCTTCTTCTCCCCCAGCTATGGATAAATAGCAGGACAGACCATGTTTCTATAGCCTTGGCAATTGGTCTACCGCAGAAAGAAATGGGTAAAAAAATCTGCCTCGTCAGTCATGTGTCGAAAGATACATGAACGCCTAAGCGTGTATCACGTATGGCACATAACTGACTGACTGAGTCATATAATAATTCTTAGTGATAATATGGTAAATGTGAATTATCTGTCGCCATTTTTTATCATTATATCCGAGCTCCAGGAGGCTGGTTTATAACATTTCAAGGTTAAATATCAATACAATTTCGTTGCTGCAGATACCGGAAACCACACTCAGATTATCGAACGTTTGTGGGGATCAGCAAAATGGAGGAACACCACGACACCATCTTGAGACCTACCCGGCCGAGTGCATGTGGAGAAGCCAAACTGCCCGATAGAGTCGATCCATTCGACGCCATTCTGCAGGCTATCACCGCATTCATGCCACCCGAATAATACAATTAATAACATTTATTAATAATGATTAATGTTTGTTATTTGGAGAAATACAAATAATTTTAGAAACAAATAGTCTATTTTTACACATCTCTATATGTGAAAAAGTGGGGAAATTAATTTAAAATATGGTGAATCACGTGTATTGAAAATATATTAGATATTCATTATAAGGTAAACAGGCTAAATTATACCTTTTTTTTTAAATTGGTATCACCCAAAGCAAGGCAGTAAAGCCACTAAGACGCAATGGGTTACAGGGTGTTGAAGAATTACAAACAGAAACATTAATAACGAGCGGAAAGAGGAAAGAGTCATCAGGAGGGTAGTAGATAGCGATTGACATTGCGTTTAACTTTTTGCAGATTAAAGTTGGCGGGAAAGCATGAAGACGGAAGAGAGTTCCACAAGCGAGAAGTGCGAGAAGAGGAACTGTTAGCATAGAAGTTACGGTTGCATCTAGCCAGCTCAACTGTAAATGGATGAAATCTCGACGCCAGTCTAGTCTTTCTTACTTTTATTTGCCGTGTCCCTTCAAGGTGTAGGCGAACACGGCTCTCCACTTCCTCCTATCGCTTGTAGTTCTCAATAAGTTTTGTCTTCTTGCTACTTCTCGCAGACCCTGTTCTGTCGTCCACTTGCTTAAGTCCGCTAAGTAAACGACGCGTTACTTCCCCTTGTCCCTCTTTCCCTCGAGTACTGCGGTTAAATTCAAAAAGTCTAGGTATCGTAGCAAAGAGCATTATTTATTTGTAATATTCACAAAATGTGGCACGAGGCCAAAAAGAGGAATGTGGGGGAGACAGTCTTCTTCTGTCTTAACTTTAAACTTAGCTAGCCACAAACACTGACCCAAACATAGAACAATATTCTTAACACCAAAACAATGCATTCTTACTTATCTTTCTTACTACATTCACCATAATACCTCACTGTCTCTATGAAAATCCTAACTAAGCCCCATATGAGCAATTCATTGTTTGTGGGAGGGGAATAAAACAACAATAAAAAAAAATCATAGCGAAGAGTGATATTTATCCTGCTATGTACAGAAATATGGCACAAGGCCAAAATGGGGGAAAAGGACAGTCTTTGTCTGTCTTAACATTAAACATAGCTAGCCACAAACACTGACCCAAACATATTACAATATTCCTTACACCAAAACAATACATTTTTACCTACCTTTCTTACTACACCCACCATAATACCTCATTGTCTCCATGAAAGTCCTAACTAGTCCCCTTATGCACAATTTATTGTCTGTGGGGGAGGGGAATAAAACAATTTAAAACTAGCCCCAACATCCGAACAATTAGCATTGAAAGTATAGAAAAGACAGAGAGGCAGTCTTATAGTGGTGGACAAGTGACTGAAACTGAGCTGCCAGATCAGGGCTAATAATATTGACTGACTTTTCCTAAAAAATAAACATTATGTACTTTAATGAATAATGATAATAAATGCATAATGATATAATAATAAAAATTATAATATAATAAACAATGAATATATGAGACTAAATAATAATAACTTCCCTTCTTTTAAACAAAGTTCGCTTGGCGTCAGTATTTTCCTCAAGCTCGATCATAAATCCGACGAACGCTATCCTCGTCATCCGGAGTTGGTTGAGCTTTGCGGGTGAGCAGATAGTTAATTAACCCAATGCGTACAACGGGGTAATTCTGAAAACTGGGGAAAAAGTATGGAGACGGCGTTTTGAAATTTGATGGTACCGTTTTTCTGACCTGACCCCGTTGCTAAGCAGCAGACCCTCTCTTGGCATTACGTGACAAGCAGTCTTTGTGGACTGATGCGCGCCATTCTTTGCTGACACGATCCCTTCTCATTAGTTTAAGCTCACGATAAATACCTTCAGCGAGATTTTCTTATTCATATGCTTCCTCTCCAAAACCTCATCGTCCGGTCCATGGTAACCTTAGCATCCTTCTGTAGAACCATACCTCAATTGCCTCGATTGTCTTCTTCATCTTTGGGGAGACCGTCCAACATTAGTTGCTGTAAAGGAGGACAGACTTAAGTACTTGGCTGAGGCACCAGACTTTATATGGCAGTGATATTCAATAAAGACTTATAAATGTGTAAGATAGATTCTGGCAACGTGAAAAAATATGGAGACGGTGTTTGGAGATCTGATGTCATCGTCCTTTCTGGCCTGACCCCGTTGCTAAGCAGCAGACCCTCTCTTGGCATTATGTGACTCGCAGGCTTTGTGGACTGATGCGCGCCATTCTCCGCTGACATAGTCCCTCGACCTTCTTTTAAGCTCACGATGAAGACCTTCAGTGAGGCTTTGTTTTCTTTATATGCGGCCATTGACCTAAACCTTTTATTTGAATAAACTCATTGACTAGCTACTGTTTCCGCCTGCCACAGATTGCAAACTAACATGGCTTATTTCCCACTGCCAAAGCTTTGAAGTAAGTTCAACACTATCTATATCCTTTTTATGTTTTCTGCTATCAAGGGTACTTCGCTGAACAATTCAATCTTGACCTCTTCAAGGCAAGGGGCAATCAGCATCTCTCTCACAGAAAATTGTCTCGCACGACACAGTCGATCAACCTTCTTTAGCAGGAGACCTAACAATTGATTCAATATTCTCCTTCCACCATTTCAGGGAAAAACATTACCGCGAGAATAAATAATTGTGAGTAATTTATGTCTCTTTACTATCCTTCCAACTCTCTGTTCTGACATCTATTTATTCGTTATGCAGGTTACTCTCTGCTTTCCTCTGTCCCTCTTGTCGTCAGTATTTCCTGCGAGTGTCAAATTTTCCGAACTTTCTTTCCTCATTATGTGTCCCAGAAATTTCAACTTCTCTTTCTGATTCTTTGCATAAGTGACCCTCTTGTTTTCCATTTTTAGCTAATGATTTCCCGATGCCTAGGCGTCTCAACATATGTTCGGATATTTAATCTTGAATTTTGTATGAGGCACCCGGTGAAGAACCAACCCTTTGATACGGCCCAACCAGGCTAGTCTCGTTAAGCGTTACCCAACGCCGGTTGATGGCGAGTCCTTTTTTATGACTTGTTGGTTTATTTTTTTTATTTATTTATTTTTTTTTAACTGGAAGAATTTAGAGAACGCTATTTATTGAAACAAAACAAGTTCAGTTGACCACTGATGACAATTCCAGAACAACGTAACTATAAACAATTTTTATCTATCCTCTTCCAGCCGCAATAATGGAGAAAGCATTATCTCGCACCATCGCCAGTGAGACACGCTGCAAGAGCCACTCCGTTTCGCGAGGCTCGTCCCTTAATCGAGACGCAATCGCGCCAATCCTCCGAAGGAACGCCATCGAACGAGGGCCAATAACCCCAGAAGTCTCCACTGCCACAGGAGTCAAAAAAAATCTCCCAGCAAGAGAATATTTAATCATTTTTTTTCATCTCTGCGTCCCGGGCGACGGATCCTGGCACAACCTCGGAACTGATCAAATTAGCGGCCGACAGGTCGCATCTTATTAAATATCGGATTTCGTACGGGGCACCCAGTGAGGATCAACCTCATTCTACAATCATAATGGTCAACCAGACTAGTCCCGCTAACAGTTACTTAACGCCGGATCGCGCAGGAATATCTACTAGGCTTAGCTTAGTTTGACAAAAGGGCCACATGTTTGGTGCATGCAGTGAGGATCGAACTCTTTACTTAATAATAATGTCCAACCGGACAAGTTCGCTAAATCTTCCCCGTCAACGAAGATCACGAATATTTACTTTGCTTAGCTTAGCTTAGCTTGACACATATTTTTGGGCACCCAGTGAGGATCAAACTCACTACTCTGTAATAACATCCAACCGGACTAGCTCGTAAAACGTTCCCGGACATCGAAGCACTCGGGAATATCTACTTTTCTTGTCATAGTTTGACACAAGTAAGCTTGTTTTGGGGGCACCCAGTGAGGAACGAACTCACTGCTCAATAATAATATCCAACCGGTCTGGATCGCTCACGATTCCCGTACAGCGAAACACCCGGCGATATTTACTTTGCTCAGCGTAATTACACATGAGGCCACTTGATGTGGGGCACCCAGTGAGGATCGAAATTTTTACTCATTAATAATATTCAACCGAACAAGCTCGTTAATCGTTCGCGGACAACGAAGCACCCGGGAATATTTGCATTACTTAGCCTAGTTTGGCGCAAGGCCACATATTTTGGGGCACCCAGTGAGGATCGAACTCTTTACTGAGTAATAATATCCAACCGGACTAGCTCGTTAGCCATTCGCGGACAACGAAGCATCCGGGAATATTTACTTTGATTAGCTTAGTTTGGCACAAGGCCGCATGTTTTGGGACACCCAGTGAGGATCGAACTCTTTACTGAGTAATAATATCCAACCGGACTAGCTCGTAAACCGTTCCCGGACATCGAAGCACCCGAGAATATCTACTTTGCTTATCATAGTTTGACACAAGGCCGCTTGTTGTGGGGCGCCCAGTGAGGATCGAACTCACTGCTCAATAATAATATCCAACCGGTTTGGCTTGCTCACGATTCCCGGACAATGAAACACCCGGGAATATTTGTTCAGCTTAATTAGACATAAGGCCACTTGATGTTGAGCACCCAGTTAAGATCGAATTTTTTACTAAGTAATAATATTCAACCGGACTAGCTCGTTAACCATTCGCGGACAATGAAGCACGCGGGGATATTTACTTTACTCACCTTAGTTTAACACGAGTATAAATTGTTTTGGGGCACTCAGTGAGAGTCGAACTTTTTACTGAGTAGTAATATTCAACTGGACTATCTCGTTAATCGTTCGCTGACAACGAAGCACCTGGGAATATTTACTTTTATTAGCATAGTTTGGCACAAGGCCGCATGTTTTGGGGCACTCAGTGAGGATCGAACGCTTTACAGAGTAATAATATGCAAGCGAACTAACACGTAAACCGTTCCCGGACAGCGAAGCACCCGGGAATATTTACTTTGCTTATCGTAGTTTGATACAAGGCCGCTTGTTTTTGGGCATCCATTGAGTATCAAACTCACTGCTCAATAATAATATCCAACTGGTCCGGCTCGCTCACGATTCTCAGACAACGAAACACCCCGGAATATTTACTTGACTCAGCTTAGGCATAAGGCCACTTGTTGTGGGGCACCCTGTGAGGATCGAACTCTTTACTGGGTAATAATATCCAACCGGACTAGCTTGTTAACCATTTGCGGACAATGAAGCACCCGGGAATATTTACTTTGGTTAGATTAGTTTGGTACAAGGCCGCATGTCTTGGGGAACCCAGTGAGGATCGTAATCACGACAGTAGTTAGCCTCCAATGGTTGCATATAGTTATTTCATTTTTTTATTGAGAACCAAGCTGAACTTTGTAAATAAAATGCATATTACGGTCTTTGACAAAAAAAAAAAAAAATGAATTACGCTACTTAAAATGCTGAAGTTCAAAGGTAGAGGCTTGCTGTCACTTGATCTGCAGTGGTCATCGTCCTTCCCCGTGGCGGTGATGGTGTTGACGGGTTGGAGACGAGCCTTGTGGAAACGCGAATTGCTTGTAGGAGACGATAACAAGAAGGCATGGACAGGATGAGTCGATGAGAAGCACAGGAGACTTTCTGTCGATGCTTCTTCTTTTGGTTTGGTGTGTGGACAGTAGGGGTGAGTCGACGGTGCCACCAAAGTCTGTCGGTGCCGGGCGGTGGAGAATGATGCAGTGAAACCCCAATTCAGACATGCTGGCGTCCTGACACTAGCGAGCATTATTTACAGAAAATCATCGATTTCCATTGAACGTCGGCCGTCCTTTCGTCTCCAAACCTCTGACGGTCAGGGAACAGAAACAATGGTGTTACTTCCTAGGGCGAGAAAAAAAGACTTTGCAGTTTATAAGTGTCAGCTCATGTCCCCAGGTAGAAAAAAAAAAGTTACAGTTTGGGTTAAGTTACAATATATATATATATATATATATATATATATATATATATATATATATATATATATATATATATATATATTCTGTAATATATATATATATATATATATATATATATATATATAGATAGATAGTAGATATTGATGAGTAATTGAATAACATAATGGGAAAAAATTCTAAGGTAAGCATTTCGTCCTTCAAAAAGACTTAATGACATCATAGAACTTCAAAAAAAAAAAAAAAAATGAAAGCAGTTTTAAAGTTCCCATATACAAGGCCGGTGTAAGAGTCCCGTGTCACCTCCCAATGTATAATAGAACCCGAATCTATCATACCGGAACCCGACACTTCTACATTACGATTTCCATAGGGTAGTATTCATATAAAATACAAATTTTATTGTAACTTAATTCAGTACAATAATAGTTCATATATAATATAGCTGAATAGTTCGACTAGAAAAAATTGAAAATAAATACAATTTATCTAACTACAAATTAGTGATATGTCACAATAGATCATTCCGCTTTAAATAAATCAACCATGTTTTGCGACAATTTTTAACGTCAACTTGAGATTTTAAAGAATTTTAATACATTCAAAATTGTAGACAAAAATACTAATACTAGCGAAAGCCTAGGACATCCAATGACGGTGGAACTCAAATACTCAGTCGTAATTGTTCTAGCGAGACTAGCTTCCTAACTATTGCACCACGTCGTAGTACCCAGTATGATTATGGGGATTTTATTAAGCGTACCTCAGATGTGTCACAAGGCCGCAAATATGGAGCACCCGAGTGGGCGGGTATGTTCATACACAACATTGGTCTTATATGGGGCAGAGGGGGAGGTGAAAGTTTTAGATATATATTATTTTTAATGGCTAGGTTGCTAGTTTGAAAGATTTGGGAGTAAATAATGGAACTGATGTATTTGTTTTGATCGAATGGTTATATATATATATATATATATATATATATATATATATATATATATATATATATATATATATATACACCTAGTGAGCCAGACAAACCTACCTGTGAGCCAAAACTTTCCCTGACGATCCGTTTAGGTGAAACCTAGGTAGATTTGTCTGGCTCACTAGGTGTATCTAGGTCTGCTCTACGGTTGTATTGAGCTCTTTTGTTAGTTAGTTGTTACTCGTATCGGGGTTTTTTTTTTGGGCTTCAGACCTGCATCTGTGCGATTTTTTTTTTGTCGGCAGAAGTTCATGTTTGTAGCTCTTTCTTTTTTAAAATCCTTTTTTTCCCTCGAGATTGATTTGATTAGCAAATCAAAAATTCGAGGGTTTTTCGAAACGAGTCTAGTTATCTCTCTCTCTCTCTCTCTCTCTCTATATATATATATATATATATATATATATAAGAAAAACAGACCTGTTCAGTTGCATGGATATTTATGGTTTTTCGGGTAGGCTTAGAATCTGTCAATTTCTTGAAACTTAACAATAGAAGAATAATCAAGAAGACAGTAGACACCGATTGACAATTGCATTTAAATTTTTGAAGGTCAAATTTGTCCGGAAAGTATGGAGCCGGAAGAGTGTTCCACAAGCGAGAAGTGTGAGAAAGGAAACTGTTATCATAGAACTTATGGTTACCTGTAGCCAATTCAACAGTAAAATGTTGACACCTTGATGCCAATCTAGAAATGTAAAAAATCATAAAGTCTAGGTACCATAGCGAAGAGTTCATCTGAATAATTTGCATGAAAATATTTATAGAAAAGGTACAGGGAGGCAACCTTACGCTGGTTGGAAAGTGACTGAAGCTAAGATGCCAGGTCAGGACCAATAATATTGCTGATTCACCTTTGGATTTTATCAAGAATCTCTAAATAAATAGCAGGATCATCGCATGTGACAGCAATAACAATATTTTTTTTTTTACGTACGGTTGAAATCTGCTAATTTTTTGAAATTTTGGATGGAAGCGTTATCTCTCCTTGAATTCGAAACACCACAAATTATACTAACATTGGTTTAAAAGAATCTAATTTGCGAGATACACGACTGACCGATGGAAATCAAACAACACAAAAGTAAAATTACATGTAGTCGGATTCGTCGTGCTTGAACTGAAATTTCAGTTCAAAAATTGACGTCTCAGATAACTCGCACAAAGAAGAAAACAAACAGGAAGTTCACACTCGAACATCGGGGGCAGAAAGAAAATGTCGAAATCTTGATTCGCAGTTCCTATATCCCAAATCACAATACACTTAATCAGTCAGAAAAGCAACACACTCGCTGATGAACGCGGTAACCAAATCTATCCATTTTCCCCCAAGACGAGAACACTAACTGCTTTTATCGACGAAGCATTTTTTTTCATTCGTCGACAACTGGGAGAGGACACACAATATTAGCATACCCGAAATACTTTTATCCGAAATACTTTTATCCGAAATACTTTTATGGCGACTCTCTTGTGGCTGACTTGTTTCAAATTTGAACATTCCGTATTCGGCATATCATGCAGAAGACGTGCTCTTTTTCTCGCTAAGTCGCTTTCTTTTTCGCTATATTTTCCGTCGTAGAACACACGCGACACGCTGTTTTTTTTTTTTTAAGCATTACACCCCTAGCAAGGTGGGAAGCCACTAGCACGCAAGGTGTTACAGGGGATTTGGAGCGAGAGCAGATAGAAATGATAGAAGAAAGGATGAGGAGAAGGATAGTGGATAGATCAAGGCAACTAGAGATATCTATTGACATTACATTTGAATAGTTGGAGATTATAACTATCAGGGAAACAGGAATAGGGAAGGGAGTTCCACAGGCGAGAGGTGCGAGACATGAAGCTATTGGAGTAGAAGAGGCGGCTACATTTAACAGTTTCAACAGTGAAAGGTTGAGAGCGGGATGCCAGGCTCGTGGGACGCTTGAACGCGAAGTCTTGGAACCAGCGAAAGCAGCTTCTCGGAGCAATTACCATGAAAGTATTCGTAAAAGAGACGGCACGTCTGTGAGAGAGCGACTGCAGACGAGATGCCTGATCAGGGCCAATTATATTGCATATCCATCTCTGGATCTTATCAAGAACCCCGAGGCAAACAGAAGGGGCTCCAGACCATATATGGCAGCAATACTCCATGCAAGGGCGAATGGCTGATTTATAGATCTGAAGGATCGATTCCGGAGAGAAAAATTTCCTGGCGCGGCACAGGGAGCCAATTTTTCTTGCGACGGATGGAGTAATTGACTCAATGTATTTGTTCCATCTCAGGTCAGTAGACAAATTTGGCGAGGTAATTCGAGGTAAGTCTCTGATGGAGCTTTAATAAAAGTGAAACATGTTAGATTAATAAACGTTTCCTATTTGTTCTTTATTTCATCATTCTGTCGAATTCCGATCCATATTTGATCTGTATTTGATCCCAACTCATAGATAGATAGATAGATAATGAATAGACTGAGATAGATAGATAGATAGATAGATAGATAGATAGATAGATGAAGCTTAAATAAAAGTGAAACATGTTAGATTAATAAACCTTTCCCTTTTTGTTCTTTATTTCATCATTCTGTCGAATTCCGATCCATATTTGATCTGTATTTGATCCCAATTCATAAATAGATAGATAGATATATAGATAATGAATAGACTGAGATAGATACATAGATAGATAGATAGATAGATAGTTTCAAGCCGAGCTTCTCGACTTGACGGTCGAACTCTCTGCTTTTGAGCAGAAAGGAACCCGGATGAGGTTCCGCCGAAGGGCAGAATCTCGTTCGGGGAGAAATGACCAACCCGATCTCGTTTATACGGGTTATACGGGCAAGTTTTGGCCGAGCCTACGGGCTCGGGAATCCCACGATAAACTCGGCCTTGTGCCACATGCAACCCTTGTGGGGGGGGTGGCTAGATACAGATAGATAGATAGATAGATAGATAGATGAAGCTTAAATAAAAGTGAAACATGTTAGATTGATAAACGTTTCCTACTTGTTCTTTATCTTATCATATCAACATAAGGTACAGAATTTACCATCAGTTCGCCATTTTAACCGAAAAATGATGACAGAAAATGTAAAATACTTTTAGAATCAAATATGTCCTATATATTTGTTTCAGAGAAAATGAGTAAACTTAACCCTAGAACACTAACCATCAATTAAAGTTACACCACTACTGACCATGGGTATATCATACCCGTTTTTGAAAATATAAACAAAAAAGATATTAAATATAGATCTTTATTTGAAATATTTTACATGCAGGCATTTCAAACTTTGTACTTTGAGTTAACATTAATAGGAAGTGAAAAACATTATTTAGGTAAGAAAATCAGGTACTGAAAATTGTAATTAAAAATAGGAAAAATTTCGCTGGGTACTATATACCCATGGTTAGTGTTCTATGGTTAAGAACAAATTAACAAAACTTTGGTAAAATATTTCTTAGTTCACGCTTAAAACAACGCGAAAAACGCGTTTGATCACAAGAAGGTGAGTGTTTCACTCGGCTTAAGGTGGAAACATAAATTATATGAGACGGAGTTGAAAAGACGACACGAGACGAGGTAAACTTAACTATTTTATTCAAACTGCCTCTGGATCCATTTTGCTCCCATCGGAACCGGAAATGCTTACAATCATCATAATCATAATCAACACAATTGATTTTGTTATAAACAGTAACGTAGTGAAGGAAAGCGAGAAGAGAGGACTAAACATCAATTGCAAGAATTCTGAATCATTACAGTTTGGAGATAACGAAATCAAATGGGTGTAAGAGTTTAGATATCTGGGGAGCGTGTTAACGGAGGACGGAATGTGCGGCCCCGAAATCCGAAGG